CTCTCTCTCCCCCAGGTCTGCCTGTCTCTCTCTCCCCCAGGTCTGCCTGTCTCTCTCTCCCCCAGGTCTGCCTGTCTCTCTCTCTCTCTCTCTCTACCTCTCTCCCCAGGTCTGTGTGTATCTCTCTCTCCCCAGGTCTGCCTGTCTCTCTCCCTCTTTCCCCCCAGGTCTGTGTCTCTTTCTCTCCCCAGGTCTGCCTGTCTCTCTCTCTCCCCAGGTCTGTCTGTCTGTCTGTCTCTCTCTCTCTCTCCCCAGGTCTGCATGTCTCTCTCTCTCTCTCTAGGTCTGCATGTCTCTCTCCCCAGGTCTGCCTGTCTCTCTCTCTCCCCAGGGTCTGTCTTCTCTCTCTCCCCAGGTCTGTGTCTCTCCCCAGGTCTGTGTCTTCTCCCCTGTCTGTGTCTCTCTCCCCCAGGTCTGTGCCTCTCTCTCTCTCCCCCCAGGTCTGTGTCTTTTCTCTCTCTCTCCCCAGGTCTGTGTCTTTCTCTCTCTCTCTCCCCAGGTCTGCCTGTCTCTCTCTCTCCCCCAGGTCTGCCTGTCTCTCTCTCTCTCCCAGGTCTCCATGTTCTCTCTCTCTCTCTCTCTCCCAGGTCTCCATGTCTCTCTCTCCCCAGGTCTCCATGTTCCAGGTCTGTGTCTCTCTCCCCAGGTCTGTGTCTCTCTCCCCAGGTCTGTGTCTCTCCCCCAGGTCTGTGTCTCTCCCCAGGTCTGTGTCTCTCTTCCCCAGGTCTGTGTCTCTCTCTCCCCAGGTCTGTGTCTCTCTCCCAGGTCTGTGCCCTCTCCCCAGGTCTGTGCTGCTCCTCTCTCCCCAGGTCTGTGTCTCTCTCCCAGGTCTGTGCTCCTCTCTCCCAGGTTCGTTCCTCTCAGGGTTCAGTTCCTCTCCCCTAGGTCTGTGTCTCTCTCTCCCCAGGTCTGTGGCTCCCTCTCCCAGGTCTGTGCCTCCCTCTCCCCAGGTCTGTGTCTTCTCTCCCCCAGGTCTGTGCGTCTCTCCCCAGGTCTGTGTCTCTTCCCCAGGTTCGTGTTCCTTCCCAGGTTCAGGCCTCTCTCTCCCCCAGGTCTGTGTCTCTCTCTCCCCCCCAGGTCTGTGTCTCTCTATCCCCCAGGTTTGTGTCTCTCTATCCCCCAGGTCTGTGTCTCTCTCCCCCAGGTCTGTGTCTCTCTCTATCTCTCCCCAGGTCTGTCTCGGGCCTGTATCCCAGATCCCACATGGTCCATTGATCCGAGCTCACCGTTACTCGGAGATCGCACGGGCTGCCCGGTTAAACGATTCATACTCCGCTCTCTCTCTCTCTGACCAGCAGCCAGCTCCGCCGCTCCGTCCCCTCGCTGCCCGCTCAGCAGCAATCTCCGGGGGGAACCCAGAGCCGCGCGGCCATCGCTGTGTCACTGGCAACGTAGCAGCGTCGGAACACGTGACCAATGCTCTGCGCCGAGCGATTGGCGGACTGAGCGGCCATGGAACGGACGGGAGGCGGTTACCAAGGCAGCCGGGGGGGGGGAGGATGACAACAAAGGTTGTTAATGACGCTGTTACTATGCGTGTAACCATGGTAACAAGGCGGGGCCAGGTTGGGCCTGTAGGTACGGTGTTTAGAACGATTGCAGCGAGACTGTACATGGACTACATTTCCCGTGATGCTTAGCTATCGTGTTGCCACATAACCCATTCCCTGCACACACGCTGAGAATCCTGGGACTTGTAGTTCTCTAATGAGCTGGGGTTTTATCTTATCCCAGTGCCAGGCTGCATGAATAACGTGCGATATCATGGGTTATTCACTAAATTATGCTCTCTTGGGAATTCAGAGTCTAGGCCAATAGCTGTCCTTTAGTTAGTATTGTCAGTAAATATTATTATTATTAGCATTTATATATCGCCAACATACCCCACAGAGCTGTACAATGATGGGAAAGCGATGTTTGATGGCGCTGCTCAAACCAGCTCACAGTCTATGAGGGATGGAGGTAGACGGACACGGCGAGGGGGCTGGACTGGGATTTGAACATGAGTTTCTCACTTCTCAGGCAGTGACAATATTACCACTGATTTCACGCATTATTAATATTATTATTATTATTTATATAGCGCCATCAGATTCCGTAGCGCTGTACAATGGGTGGACTAACAGACATGTAATTGTAACCATCCAACTGGACGTACAGGAACAGAGAAGTGGAGGGCCCTGCTCAATGAGCTTACATTCTAGAGCAGGGGTCCTCAAACTCCGGCCCCCCGGATGTTGCTGAACTACAACTCCCATGATTCTTTGAATTACATAGATAGCTAGAGAATCATGGGAGTTGTAGTGCAGCAACATCTGGGGGGCCAGAGTTTGATAACCTCTGTTTTAGAGGATGTAAACTACTTTTGTTTTCACCTGGGTCACAGCCAGTAGGTATCCAATGAGCTGTCGCATTATTATTATTACTTACATAGCACCTGTGGCGGTACTTATATAGAGGAGGCCCTGCTGCGAGAAATAGTTTTTGGCCCCCTCTAGGACAAGGGTGGCCAAAAGGTAGATTCCCATCTGTCGGACTCCCACAATGCTACGTTGCTGGGGATTAACCATTTGCCCATCCTTGCAGGGTCAATTCTTACATGTACAACCCTCTTTATGTTTTAGTACTAATTATAAAAACCCCTGCAGGCTGCAGTGTTGCAGCTTTCCTATGGGCATGCGCATTAGGTCTCCCCCGCCGGCGGATGTCAGCGGGGAAGGAGCCTGACCCAGTGACGAGGGACAATAGCATCATGATATTGTGCAAAATTTGGAACTGAATTCGGTTTCACATAAAAACACGGGGTGCGTGATCACACAGAATACTGGGGGACCCAGATAAGACACCAGCAATCCTGACGTCATTTAATTTGATTGATAAACTTATATTGTTGGGTGAAAATGCTGCTCACAAGTGTTTCCATTTATCTAATACATTGTTCTACACATTTAATCTCTGAACCTTCTTTTTTCTTTTATTTTTGTGTATATACAACATAAGGATTGGGTTTTGTGAGCTGTTTTTAGGCAATTCTCTAATGGTTGGTAGAAGATTGTTGGCCTTGTAATGTGCCAACAACTGAAGTGCCAAATAAAACACCCCTGGCATATACTCAGGTTGCTTTTCCTGCATTTATAGGTAGTCTCAGCATGTGCAGTCAGCCAGCTGTTGTTTTGTTTTGATACATGCTGGTACAGCATGGGCTCCATTAGGGATGGCCTGAGGGTGAAGCAGCTTATTGGCTCTCTGCCTTTTAGTGTCTTTGATAATGTTTATCTTTTGCTATCTCCCACTGCCTGCATCTTGTATGTGTTTTTAAAAGCAATCCATTAAAGCCAAGTCAGTAATACTGAAAGTTTGGAAAGCATATGCTGCAATGTAAACAGTGGTTTTGCAATACCCCCCTGTTCTCCAGAACTGAATGATATTTGTGGATACCTGATCCCATCAAGCCTTGTTTGTGTACTGGTCATGTCAGTTTACAGGGGAGGGATGTTTCCTGGAATTGCCCTGGGATCATGGGGCCTCCCTCCTGAGTCCTGTTTACAGCTCCCCCCCAGCCCAGTGCACTGAACGAGCGGCTGAGCTGAGCTCACAGACCACACTGATCAGGGATCAGGCAGAGGCAGTACAGGAATCTCTTCCTGTGCATCAAACTGAAGCATGCAGCTACTGGGCAAACTCTGTGCCCTTATCCTAACTTCATCTCTCATCCAACTGGATATCTACTGCCAGGGGCGCACATGTAAGTATACCCTCCCTGCAATGTTTAACCCTCTGAGATAGATTTTGTATCCCTTCATAAAGTGTCCTGCCACCAAGATCATGGAGATTGCTCTCGTTTTTAACCCCCTAAGGACCAAACTTCTGGAATAAAAGGGAATCATGACATGTCACACATGTCATGTGTCCTTAAGGGCTTAAGTATATGGACCTGGTGGAGACAATGTGTGAACTACAATGCTACATAAGTAACCAGACACTATATACTGGAACACACATGCTTCCTGTAGCATTCCAAGAGTTGATACATTCTCCTTATTTTTGTGATCACTCCTATCTGATTGCTTTAAAAATCACAGGAGCAAAACATATTCTAATCTCTACACCCTCTGTTTTGGAGATACTTTTGCATTGGCAGGAAACAATATATTGAATCATTTTCTTTTGTTGTCTGAGTTGTTATGGAAGCTGTGTTATGTCTGCAGTGTAACCCAGGTGAGCAGAGAGCTTCCAGACGTGACTAGTGGATTACAGTGATGATATACATTGTGTAAGAGCATTATTTTGCTCTTAGAATATGTAAGGTATTAAGTATATCCTGAGAGTTAAAGGAACATTTAGCATGCAGCTTAATCTCTGTAGATAGCCTGTACACAGCCACAGTGCAATGATCAAGAGCTTGTGTCATATACACAGCCAGCTTACTTTTTGTTCTGTTTGATTCCATTGTTTGTTCACCCCTGTTATCATAGGTTGCTCTGTACACATTCACTCACCAGTGTGGGTTTTATTTATCAAAACTAAGCCCAGGCAGTTTGAGAAGAATTGATTGTTCTATATTTATAAATGGCAAGAGTAGTATTGATTTCTGGGGTACTGTTTACTAAAAAAATCAGTTTGCCCTATTTTTTCTTTGGATGATCATAACCGCCTTAAGTGGTATTCACCACTAAAGGCGGTCATGATTATGAAAAGAAAAACAGGGCAAAAAGAAAATAATCACATTGCTTACATTTTACCTGTAAGTAAATCCATACGTAACTATTTACTTGTAATATACTATATACATATTGTAAACATAAATGTTTTGTTGTCACTTAATTTTTCTTTCTTTAACAATTCGTAGATATATTAATTCACTAACAGGAAAGATAGATAGATAGATGTGTGTAATATTCATGTGGTTTAACCCTTTAACTTTAATAACAGTTCATCCAATATGTTTTGTCAACAAAATTTTTTTTTCATTCCCTTATTCTATCATGTTTAACTGTTATTACAATTACAATTGATTTCATTTATATGTAATATATTTTAAGATTTTACTAATAAAGCCAAACTTCCCGATGTGTTCCAACTCCCAAGATTGTTCTTGTGTGGTTTTTAGATAACCTCTTATGGTATTTCTCAATATGTATGTGCATTGAGAGCAATGCCTACGCATTTAGGGGATTACCCAACATTTCTTGCTAATTCTTATTCAGAGTGTTATCTAACTTTTGACACAAATGCATACATTTATATATGTTGTGAATTATGCTGTATTACACAATTACTTGGTCGTTTGCAGTAAAGAATTCCCCCACATGATTTTCCATAGGAACAAAATATGTGCGCAACATTTTGTGTTGTTTCTGTTTTGATTTGTGATGCTTAGTATATAATATTCTCTGTTACCCGTAGTGTGCATTTTCCTGTAATAGCAATTTGATTGTTATTTCTTATAGTCACTATCACACACCTCGCAATATTTGAAATGGACAAAGAAGGCACTTTATTATGAGAAACATGAGATAGGTGACTTACTAATAACAATTTATACAATCAAAATATAAATGAACAATGTATCTTACTTAAGGCTGTCTGATTTCTAAACATATTTACTGTCATTTAAAGACACACATTGTGAGTATTATTGCTGTGGAGCTCTGTTATACACTCAGACACACCAACAGTGTGGAAAAGAGGGACTTTAATATAGAAAAGAGGGTCAGAGGGATTTGGACTGAAAATACAGACTCTCCTTCCTGAATAGGGACACTTGGGAGGTATGTCATCATGTTGGGGGGTTATTCTCACTACAATGTCCCTAAACAGAAAATCACACTAAGACAATCTAGGCCTACAATTTCTCTCTTCCATGAACAATCTTTGAGGCCTACTACAAATTTAGGGGAATCATGCGTGGTCCAACAATTTGAGTCCAATTGCTGCAAAAAGAGTTTGAAGGCGGCAAATGAAATAACCTTGCCTCAAAATATTTATTTATTTATAAAATATTTTACCAGGATGGATACATTGAGATTTCTCTCGTTTTCAAATATGTTGGGGTACCTGATAAATAAATCAGTTTAAAAATGAATAATTAATTAAGAACAACCCTAACATATAAACTAATATTATAGTAATATGTGAAACCTCTCAGATTTAAGAATCCTTGGAATGAAATATATCTAATATTATGCAAAGTAACACAGAACCCTATCAGGGGCATGCACAGTCAATGTAACAACATAATATTCTGCTGAGCTGGTCTGTGGACCAGTGAGTTAGCACCCCGGCAGTTGTTATTTGGTAATATACCAAGGAAAATGTAAAGGAATGTTTAATAGTTCAATAATAATGTTCAATACTTTCTCACCACTTTATTTGTTTTATTTACTGTGACAAATTTAGTGTATATTTGCCACTTATGCATATCCCCGAACGTTTCAAGTAGCCAAAGATAATATTTTACACACTCCACACATTACTGAAATTTTTTTCAATTTAGCCATTTAATGCACTCATACATCTTTGATACAATAGTCACATTATTGTATTTTTATTGCAGTGAAGCCATGCAATACACTCATATACTCCCCCATGAGTGCAGTACGTGTGTGTGGAGGGAGGACAGAGCTTCCCTAGATAATCTAGAGAGGAGAATGAGATCCCACCAGTCATGATGATGTGACTTTTAAAATATTATATATTACTGTTGGAATAATAAAACATATTTTTAAGGAGTTCATTAGCTTTTTCACATAGCTCTTAACAATTACATTTCAATAAGATGCAAAAATAGCAGTGGGAAGACTGACCTAAATATACTATAAATGTAAACATGCATTTGTAAAAGTTGTGCACCTTTATTGAATAATTGCTTTATTTGTGAGAAATTGCAGGAGTATCCTGGCCACCCATTCTAAGAAGCCAAACTGCTTCAGTAATGTCTGCAAATCCTCAAATGTACGCAGATGACACAGTAATCTATGCTAGCAAATCCAATCTATCGCAGCTTGAGGCTGTGCTCAAGACCAGTTTACAGAGGTAGAAAAGTGGATCGCAAAAAACAAACTCTTCCTAAACACTGACAAAACTGTCACAATGATCTTTGGAACAGTACCTAAATTACACAAATTACACAATTCCCACCTATCCATCAAAACAAATTCAAATACTTGGGTATGTTGTTAGACCCCAATCTATCTTTTGGCCTCCACATAGAAAAACTTGCATCTAAACTTCATCTGAAACTAGGTGCCCTGTACAGAAACAAATCCTGCCTAAGCCCTACAGTAAAGGAAAAGATTGTACAGCAAATGCTGATGCCAAACATTGATTATGGGGATGTAGTATATGCAATCCCACATTAATAAACTCAATACATTGTATAACTCGTTCTGCCGATTTGTGCTACAATGTAATTACAGCGCCCACCACTGTGACATGCTAAAAGAACTAAACTGGCTGTCGCTGAAATCCAGACGCACCCTTCATCTTTCTAGCCTTGTTTTTAAGAGCTTTTCTGGGAAACTCTACCTGAACAAAATGCTCTCCTCGGCTGTTCCTACCTCCTATAACCTCCGATCTAGTACCAACACTTTATTTAGTCTACCTCAATACAAAAAGAAAGCAGCCCGATCCTCCTTCTCCTACAGAGCGCAGCAATTGTGGAACGACCTCCCGCACAATTTAAAATCTTCCCTAAGCCTAAAGTCCTTTACGAGATCCCTCTCTACATACCTCAAAACAGAATGCGCATGTCATGGTTGATTATATATTTCCTACCTGTTCTATGTTAAATTTGATATGTATTGTGTATTAATATTGTTTTTGTATTTTATTGTACCCGAATGTAACAATGCAATGTTTTGTGGACCCAGGACATACTTGAAAACGAGATAAATCTCAATGTATCTTTCCTGGTAAAATATTTTAGAAATAAATAAATAAAGGAACACTATAGATACCCAGACTACTTCATATAATGGAAGTGGTCTTGGTGCAGTGTGCCTATTAACCTAACCCTGCAATGTATAGATTGTAAGCTCATTTGAGCAGGGTCCTCTTCAACCTATTTTTCCTGTAAGTTTTTTGTAATTGTCCTACTTATAGTTAAATCATCCCCCTTATAATATTGGAATCTGTTGACTTTTAAAGGTTGGTTTTTCACAATTATACAGCATGTTCATTTGTGTTCATTAACATAGTCTATAACTATTAAAGTTTAAATTGGATGAGCTCAGTATTGCTAAAGAGGACACAATCTTGCTAAACTACACTCGCAAGAGTGATCCAGATAATTGCAATCACCCGGTTTGAGTATCTTGAGGGTTTGGTTTCACGAACACAGTACGGTGGGATCAGGCTGTGGTCATGACAGACAGCACAGGATTAGGCAGGCAAGAAGAGAAACTCAATCATCAGAGGCACAACAATAACAACACACCAACCTTGAAGGTTAAAGGGCAACTGAGCAGGAGCATTGAGCTAGGGAGTAACCTCTTTTGTTCCCTACAGCAAAATTAGTGGGGAACAACAAAAAAAAAGCAAGAAATATACACACTAAAGACAACAATATTAAATACGTAAGACTAAATGTGCTCCCAGGTGTACCTCACAGACACCCAACAAATAACTAAAACAAAGAAAAGTGGGAAAAGGCACCCAGTATACTTATACAAAAAATTACAACAACCTGGAAATATGAACCAGGATCTGTAGACCAATTAGAGATCTATAATAATAGCAAACAAAACATAGCGTAATACAGTAAACAGTAGAGAAATATGTGATGTATCATCTGTTTGTGAGTTTTCTACCAACATCACATATTTCTCAATTATTTGCTGTATTACACTATGTTTTGTTTGCTATTATTATAGATCTCTAATTGGTCTTCGGATCCCGGTTCATATTTCCAGGTTGTTGTAATTTTTCGTATACGTATACTGGGTGCTTTTACCCACTTTTCTTTGTTTTAGCAAAATTAGTGGGGCTCTTTATTCCTCAAAGCAACATAATCTACCTTTTATTGGTCTGTTTATATGTTTGTACCAATAGACGTATTAGACAGTAACAGACACACATGCACACCTGTCAGGACATATTTTGTAAGGGTGCATTCTCCTTCTCACTGCAGCATACAATAACACAAGGCGAAGGTAGTCTACTTTCTCTGACTGACTGGAAGAAGCCAGACATAACATCTAAGATCTACTTCCTATTGTGTCATTGGACGGTGCAAGCGCATTCATGGAAAACTGCAGCAGATATAATTAAATTTTTTATAATGTACTTTGTTTTATAAAAATCATTTCATTTTATGATTATCACTATATTAAGTTATAGGGATCATTAACTCCCCTCACCCGTTTACCTTTATTACCCTGTTATAAATAAAATATTGACACCCAAAGTATGGCAGATAATTGTTTAAGTTTGGCTACTATACCTTAAATTTGAAATTATCTGAACATCTCCCAATAAATCACATTTTGTGTTGTTTTTCAAGTCAGGGGAGGGATGGCAACTTTTGACTTGTGGACCAAGTATAAACAAATGTGTGTTTTTTTGTGCAGAAAACTCACAGATCTGTGTGTGGATGGTCCTACTTACACAAAGCAGGCAATATATGGATTTAACAGATGCAGACTATTGGTGTTGAACTGTGTGGCATCATTCATTCCAGTAACCGTTCAGCACGATCTAAACAGCATGTGAAGGAATTCCCATGGATCTGCATGTGCCTTTAAGACACAGACTACGTTTCCCATGACAGGACTGGCAGTCAAGTAAAACCTTGATACTGCAGTTTACTGGGAAATATTCCAGTGGGATAGTCCAGGCCTGGAGATCATTGAGATCACAGCCCACCAGCCCACTCAAAAGCTCATACAGTGCTGGGCTACTAATAGCCCTAAGTAAACACTCCCAGCTACCTCACTTTTGCAGTACTTTGCCATCAGACATCTTAACACATCTTTCTATTTTAACCCTCAGAGCAATGGTGTGAGACTGCAGCCTCTGCTCTCCTTCTCCCCTCCGCCATAGCCTACACTCCAATTCTCGTGTGTCCAAACACTAGGAAGTATAACGTGAGCAGGCCCTTAGTGGGCATCACCAGTGATGCATATTGTGTTAGTGGCAATGCACATAATGGGCAGTCATGTTTGAAAAGGGGCATGCCTGGTCACTGAATGGGCATGTCAGTCTAGGACCCAGCACTCTAGGCTGATTTACAGCCTGTCTGGCTGGACTCAAACATAGAGAAGAATGCAGAGAGCACTGTTAAAGGGAAACTATAGTGTCAGGAAAACAAACTAGTTTTCCTGGCACTATAGCTCTCCACTTTGTCAAGGGCCCCCCCTGTGATACAGAAGGGGTTAATAACCTGTCACCTTGGTCCAGCGCCGATGTGCCTCATGCTCCTCACTCATCGACGTCAGCCGGTGGGGTAGACCTAATATGCATGCGCAGCAAAGGCTGGTAGACAGCCGCTATAGGAGGAGTTAACCCTAGCAGGTAATTATTGCAGTTTATAAAAACTGCAATAATTACATGCTCAGGGTTAAGGGTGATGGGAGATTGCACCCAGACCACTTCAATAAGCTGAAGTGGTCTGGGTGCCTACAGTGTCCCTTTAATATGCTCTTTGCATGGTCCTTGTGCCCACAGGACAATGCAAGAGTTTCTAATGATGTGCTCATGTTGTCTCAGAATGTGGAACCAGGGAAGATAATTGGGATGATGGGACAGGAGCCTAAAATAGGCACTGTCATACTGAATTTGGGATTGTTGGGGACAGGCCTGAATACTTGTAGTCCAGATTAAACAGGGTAGGCAACCTTCGGCACTATAAATGTTATGGACTACATCTCCAATAAGGCAGCAGGGGAGATGTAGTCCACAACATCAGAATTGCTGAAGGTTGCCTATCACTGAGCTAGAACCACAAGATAGGCTATACCTCCCAACTCCAATGTCTTGAGACCTGGGGCACTGGTGGGGAAGAGGTAAAGTCCCACACCAGGCTGACCTGCTTAAATTAATGGCAGGTCAGCATGGTGTGGGACTGTCCCACAGAAATCGGGGAGGTTAGGAGGCATGAGATAGCCTGCTTAACCTTATAGAATGAAAAAATAGAAATAGAAATGGTTACTAATGCATGCTTCTAGGCTGAGATCAGCACATGCATGATGCTCCTATTTGGGGCCCAAATCTCTTTGTCCATCTTTTATATCCTGATGTCCTTCTTTTCTAGGAGCTCCAGATTGTTGGTGTGTCAGCGTATAACAGAGCTCCACAGCAATAATACTCACAATAATATGACTTTAAACTACAATAAATATGTTTAGAAATCAGTCTGGGTAAATAAAATACATTGTTCTTGTTCTAAATTGCATTTGAGTTGCATAAATTGTTATTCTTAAGTCACCTAAGATTTCTCAGAAAAGCCAGGCTCCAGGCTCTTTGTCCTTTTGTTGTTGGGAGGTATGCACATTTTTTTAAATCATTTCTGGAGTCCTTTAAATATATCCAGATTTGATGAGCTCCTTATATTTACATATATGATGCTGTTTTTTTTTTTAAATGTCTGATGTCAGATTTTCCCTGGTGAACCATTGATGTTTAATACTGGAACTAGGTTTGCACATATACATGTCTTATCTTCTCTGTGTCAGTACATCATATTTCAAGAAAAGAGCTTATTTATATGTTACTTAGTTGCTTTTAGAGATTACTGCATGTCCCCTCTGGTAAGTTCAGTGTGACAAACGCTCCTTACCCTGGACGTTTGTCATGAACTCCTGGAGGAGCATGCTAGCTAGCCTCCTGCCCAAGGACTATGGGCCACATACAAAGACCCTGTTCGGGAGTTAAATCTCCCCAGCCTCCAATACCAGCTTTCCCTGGGTGCCTGAAACTAAGGGTAACAAATGCTACCTAAGAGTCAGCTGGAGCACCCTGTATTGTGGCTGCAGGAGCTCCCGGGAGTTGACCACAAAAAGCACCAAACTCCCTGGAACTGTTTTGGGCATAGGACCATGTGTGCGGACAGTCAGAACGTCCACACGGTGGCGTTTCCCCTACACTACATGGATCTGAGTGCTATTTAAAGAACTTGGGTGCTCAGATCAGGGCTATTTAAGCATATAGAATTTGTTGGGGTTCCTATTTGTTTTGTATGTATTTTTTTAAGTATTTTGATATTTTATGTTTTTATGCCGAGTCACTCTGACACAGGAATTTGTGGTCATTTTGTGGGAGTGTTTTGAACGTGTTTTACTGCATCCTTGTTTTGTATATAAGAGGGCCATTTGGCCATGATTAAACACGTTCGTTTCCACCCTTCATCAAGTCTAGGCTGATGTTTGGGGAATTGGGAGCTATAATCACTGCTTCACTGGGGATTTGGGAGAACAATAGTGGATATACTCAGCCGTATAGGGGATCCGTTACATTCAGAATATACTTTAGATTGTCTCTAGTTCTCCCAACACATTTACATAAAAACTACTGTACCATGCAGTATGGAAGATCATTTTGCTAGTTAGAAAATTAAATAAATGGAACAATAAGAGGTCCTTACAGTGATTTGAAGTGGTTATGGTGCTTGAGGTTTGTATATGCAGCGTTTAACTATGAAACGCTGCACATGCAGAGTGTAACCCCTTTGGAGACACATTGAGTCATTATTAGCCAGCCCAGAACATAAGTTCCAGGTTGGTTAATACTAGTTCTGGACATATTGGGCGACTGTATTCGGCACGCACAGGTGGCTCAAGTCCCCCTTCATGCCGCCTAAATACAAGAGAGTCAGTGAGCCAAGAGAACTTGATGCAGGAGCAGAGGTAGGTTTTAGCTTTAATTAAATTTTTTTTATAGTTTGAAGTGGAGTCCAGGATAGGAAGGGTTATTCAAACCAAAAAAAAGTATTTATTAAAAAACCTTTTTGGCTGGAGTAACCCTTATATTTTGAAGGTTCCCAAGTAAAGAGGGTATCTCATCTCTACTGGTATTGGTCTGGTCTACAAGCCTTGAGCATCACACAAGAAGTTGAGATAATGTGAAGTGAAGAGACTGATATCTAAACTTCAGGCACATTTATCTTGATATATATAAATGTGTTGTTATTTTTTCTAACATGCTGTCATGCCACTCAACTTTTCCCTGAGAGTGCCTGCGACTAGGATAGAAGAGCCAGGAAGTAGGCAGTGACAAGGGGCAGGCTTCTTCATAAATTTGGCAGTCTGCCGCAAAAGGAGCATTGCAGCCTAGCATGACCATTCAGTACAGTGTGAGCACGTCTAATAACGTGCTTGCGTTGCTCTGGCCAAGGGCAGTTCTGTAGATTCCGTTGATGCATGTCAGTCGGAAAGGACTGCAATACGGGACCGTCCTGCTGGATCTGGGACTGATCAGAGTTTTGTAGTGTACAGATTAATTTTTAAAAATTTCTTGAAACAGCCTTGGTTCGCCATTCATTAGTAGTTCTCATGATTACTTTACATTGATGTGCATTTTCTTTCTCTGCTCTACCAAACTCATTAATTCAATGTTTGTAAAGTTTTGTCTCCACAGTACGCTTCCAATTTTCTCATACGAAAACGTAGAGCTAACTCGTTCTTGGAAGAAGGCAAAGCAGGAAATCTTGAGAGAGAATGCATTGAAGAACTGTGCAATAGAGAGGAAGCAAGGGAAATTTTTGAAAATGACCCCGAAACGGTAAACATATCCTCTTGTGATTTTTTGTTGTTGTAATGACAAGGGAAATATGCAACATACTGCTTTAGGGATGAAGCGCAAATGATTTTTTCTTTCAAAGTCATTAAATTCCGCTCGTGATAAAATTATATAGATGCAAAATATCATTCACTATTTTTCCATTTCATGGTTCAAACTTCATTGGCGTGATCACAATAAAAAACGCTTTATGTATTACAAGTAGAGTTAAAACCTGGAAGAATACCGAAAATTAAATTTTCCAATGCACTGGTAGTTGCATCCATTTTATAAATATTAGTCACGTTACAGTGTTGCGTCTGTGTTGCATCTTATTAAAGAAAAATCTAATGCACTTAACCATGTAATTAATTTTTTATAATTGATTCATTTCAAAGTCCATTTTCCTCGAATTAGTGATGTTCCATGTAAAGATTGTGCTGGCTTCATGGGATAATTTAAAGTGGATATTGCATCCCCAGATGACAGGTCTGCTTTGCATAAAAAAATTAAAAAAATAGCTTTTGCCTTTGAAAGCACTGTGTCACGATTCGGGGAACCAAACACGCTGGCACACACACACACACACAAAGTGCCGTACCGGACCTTAGAGTGGCCGGGCTAAGCACACAAAGAATAGTCAGGAAACAAGCCGAGTAAGGGGAACCAGAAGACAGAATAACGTGAAACAAGCCGAGGTCAAAGGGTAGGAGAAAGTCACAAAGTCGGATAACAAGCCAGAGAGTACGTAACCAGAAGCACAAGTTCAGAATCAATACTAACAAGCAAAGACCACAACAGGGCAAGGAGGAACAGGAAAGGTAAGTATTTAAACCATCAGGTTAATTCTGATTGGATGATTTCCAATCAGAATTAACAATCACACGTGGGAGATATTTAGACCTCCCACTGTGATTGTGGCACTTTGCCTTTAACGCCGGGTCAGGTGACTGACCCCGGCGTGTATAACCCTGGGCGGTCTCCCAGCGTGCAGCGTCATGCATGCTGCCGCTGGGGGACGTGGAGGGAACGGCGGGCGGCATCCGAGGCTGGAAGGATGCCGCTCGCCGTACCCACGAGGCGGAGGGGACCGCGGACGCTGGAGGGTGAGTACTGCGAGCGGAGTGCAGCCTCCCCTCGCAGCCGTCCGCGGGAGCCTGACATTACCCCCCCCTCGAAGACCACCCAGGGGGTGGGAAGCGGAAGCTTCAAAGGAAAGCGGGCATGAAAGGAGCGGACCAAAGAGGGAGCGTGCACATCGGAGCTTGAAACCCAGGACCGCTCCTCAGGGCCGTACCCCTTCCAGTCCACCAAATATTGCAGCCGACCCCTAGAAACACGAGAGTCGAGAAGGGCAGCCACCTCGTACACGTCGTCAGAGACAGCTCGAGGGGAAACGGGCCGCCCGAGGGGACGAGAGAACCGGTTACACAGCAAGGGTTTCAAAAGCGAGACGTGAAACGTGTTCGGGACATGCATGGAAGGAGGCAAATCAAGGGAGTAGGAAACGGGATTAACCCTACGTAACACCTTGAAGGGACCAAGAAACCTGGGGGCAAATTTCATCGAGGGAACCTTGAGACGGAGGTTCCGGGAGGACAACCATACCCTATCACCCGGAACATAGGAAGGGGCCGCAACCCTACGGCGATCAGCAAACTTTTTCTGAGCAGCTGCTGAACGAGACAGCGCAACATGGACTTGATCCCACGTCTTCCGCAAAGAGGCGAGGTGCTGGTCCAAGGCGGGCATTCCCTTGTCGGAGAACGCACCGGGAAGGACAGAAGGACGAAACCCATAAGCAACCTCAAAAGGACTTAAGCCAGTAGACGAATGAGACACCGTATTCCTGGCAAATTCAGCCCACGGAAGAAGGCGAGACCAGTCATCCTGGTGCGCATTAGTGAAGCAGCGCAAATACAATTCCACAGACTGATTAGCACGTTCGGCCGCACCATTAGATTGCGGGTGATAGGAGGAAGAAAACGACAAGGATACCCCCATCTCAGCACAAAAGCCCCTCCAGAACCGAGAGACAAATTGAGGGCCCCTGTCAGATACGATATCCTGGGGTACCCCATGCAATCGGAACACTTCTTTGGCAAATACCTGAGCTAACTGAACCGCAGAAGGCAGTTTCTTAAGCGGAATGAAGTGCGCCATTTTAGAGAACCTATCCGTCACAGTCAGTATCACCGTCTGACCATCAGAAAGAGGCAGGTCTACAATGAAATCCATGGATAAGTGGGTCCATGGTTTCTTGGGTATAGATAGAGGCATCAGAAAACCCTGGGGTCTCACGTTGAGGGACTTACATTGCGTGCAGACCTGACAAGCCTGAACAAAATCCACTACGTCTCGCTTAAGTGAAGGCCACCAGAACTGTTGAAGGAGGCCCTTGTAAGTTTTGGTAACCCCCGGATGACCAGCAGTTTTGGCTGTGTGAAATAAAGTTAACAACTTTTTTCTGTCATTAGCTTCAACGTATAGTTTACCAACCGGCGTCTCAGGGGGTGCTTGGGTTTGGTATGTCTTAATACTGGTAAGGAAAGGTGAAGAAACAACCAAACGGGTAGCAGCTATTATCTGAGACGCAGGTACAATAGGTTCAGGAGTCAGGTTAACAAATTCTACTGGTTCATGCTGCCGAGAGATAGCGTCAGCTTTGGCATTACGGCAACCAGGTCTATAGGTGATAACATATTGGAAGCGTGAGAGAAATAGAGACCATCTAGCCTGCCGGGCAGATAACCTTCTAGCATCAGCAATATAGGATAGATTCTTATGATCTGTTATAACCATACTTTTGTGTCTAGAACCCTCTAATAAGTA